AAGAACTTCTCATTGTCTTCATCCACAACATTAACCAGCCTATCCACCAAATTTCTTTTATCTTGAAATCCAAGATTTTGAATATCAACTTCATTTGCACCCTTTGATCCGAAAATAAGCCCTTTTCTTAAACGATCGAAGGTGGGAAGTTTTTCAAGAGCAGCCCATTTAAGAGCTTCTTCATCATCTTCTTCCCGCGAAGAACGCGAAAAAACTTCGATTCCAGTATTTCTCCATATTGATGAACTGTTTGCTCTCAAACTTCCCACTCTTAAGCTACTACTAGCTTTATAAATATCCCCAGCATCCATTTTTATGCAGTCAGTACAAACTTCACTGTATTATTCCAAGAAAACTGCTAAATTTTGTGGGGGAAAAAAAGAAAGAAACTTGATCTCCAAAAAAAAAGAAAAAAAGAAAATGCAAATGGAATACAGATTATTTCTCCCTGTAACTTCTTTTTTTTCCAAAGGAACACAATTTTGAACTCAAAATTTAATTTTATGAAACGCGTTTGTGATTCAAGGAGGGAGGGAGAGAAAGAAAGAAAGAAAAATAATGCAAGTGTTTCTGGCAAACATGAAACAACTACAATTTATAATTCTGCAACCAGGCTTTGAGGTTTCAACCAAGAAGTTTCTCTAAAGAAATTTTATGCCACCTTCTTTGACCATTCATGACCAATAATTGAACAGAAAATAATAATATTTTGACATTTCAAATTTTTTTTTTTTTTAAATCCCAAATATCTAATTTGCTTTATGGCACGAGCAGCCGCCGCATACTGTTACTATTATTAGATATTCTCTAGAAAATATAATTATAAGTTATAAGATCTATTTTGACCCACTCAAGTACATTGTCAAAATCTAGACGGTTAGAAAATAGACATACTCATGCGTCATTGAATTTACTGATTCCATAATCTTTGATTCACATGTTAATTAAACTCTGGCACTTGTTTGATTTCGCTAAAATGTAAATTTAAATCAACTTTAAAATTAACCACTGTTCAACCAACTTTTATCAAAATTTATTAAGGCTATATTTGAACTGCATTTTTTTTCATAAAAAATTCATTTTTAAATAGTTATTTGATATCATTTCAACCACATATTATTTAATAAAATAATATTACACGTAAATTAAAAAAATTTCTTTATTTTTTAACCACACATTTTCTATCAATACACTATTAAAAATGCATTCTTAGAATATAATGTGGCTCAAACAATGGCTAAAAATTTCGTTTTTATCAAATCAAACAACGGCTTAATTCGAGTAGCATCTATAGAACCACTAAAAGCCTCTTTGGGAGTGATTTTGAGAATTGATTTTTTGACCGTTAGGAAAAAAGTGGGATTTACTTGTGAGAAAAATTGTCAAATATGACGACTGAAATAGTTAAATAAAGATAAAAAAATTAATTTTTTGAGGAAAAAAATCACTCCTTAACAGACTCTAAAATATTTAAAACTATACATAAAAAAAAAGTTAATTTTAATATTGTCAAAACCAAACTCGATTGGCTCAACCAGAAAAGTCGAAAATTGACATCAAATGTGATCTGAAAAAGGTAAATATTTAGAATTTTGAAATTGTTCAACGACCAAATTAAACATGATCATTTCACATACTAATTTATTTATTTATTTTACGACCACGGATAGAACCTAGTACAAACCTTTGATTTCATTTATTTATTTATTTCAAGTTGATGCTAATTGCTAAGCCAAATTTTTAAAACATTGATAAATTTTCATTTACTTATTTCAATGCACTCATATGCCAGTCATTTCATTTTTTCCTAACAAAAATTCTCGAGTTTATTAAAATGAGGACAAGATTCAAACTTAAAATATCAAATTAAATTACCTTCTTTAAATGATTAAATAATTATTGAATAAATTTATATGTTTGAATCTTATCTACAAGGAATCTGGAGTGCATATATTAAGCCTTTGTTTGAACTCCAATTTAATGAAATTTTGGAAAAAAAATATATATTTTAGAATAATTTTTTTGAGAATGTGTTATTAAAACAAGGAAAAATTTTGAGGTTATATCGAATATTATTTTACTGAAAAATGTATATTTATAAAAAAAAAAAAAATACAAAAAGAGGGTATTCAACTTGCAAATTTGCCACGTTCAAGCCATAGTCCATAGACAGAAATAATTCCAAGTGCCCCCCAGGGAACATCCGAGTTGGTGAAACAATCACTTCGCTGGGACGCTGGAAGCAAGGGTGGGGAGTTCGATTCCTGGAGTTAACACTGGGAGCCATATGGAGATGAAGTCATTGGTGTGAACAAACGCCCAGTGAGGAGAGCTCTCTTTGCGGAAGGAGTCCAAATGAGTTGTGGGAACCTGGGAGCCAACAAGGGCACATCTTGCGATTTACCTCCCTGAGCTGCTGAGGGGCCGGAGGTTCAGGGATAAGGATCTAGTCGGACGCAAGTCCGGACACCTTGTAAAAAAAAATAAAAAATAATTCCAAGCCTCCAGTGTTGAATTACTTGTTCCATGCATCAAGACATGTTTAATTATTTTATTGGAATGGAATGGGATGGCAGGATTGGGATGGGTGCAAATGGGCAGGTTCCCAATAATAATAATAATAATAATAATTTACAGCTAACTGTATATCAAAAAAGTACTAAATTTTGTAGACTAATTTATCGCAACCAATAAACCAATTATTTTCTTCAGTGTCTGGTACGATAAATTAAAAAGAATTGAAAATAATTAAGAAAATAATATATAGAAAATTTTAAACTATTTTATTTAATTAGCACAATTGAGTCTGCCAAATGTGTCGGAAAGGTAAAAGTTATGAATTTTACGCTTGTTATAAAAATTATTTATTGAAGGCGGGGATTAAAATTAAATTTTGATAAAAAAAAGAAAAAGAAAATGTATAGTTAAAAAAGTTTTGAGTCTCATAAAATATGTAATTAATATTAATTATTAATTTTGATTTTAATTCCTATCAAACATGGACTGAATGTTATTTTTTCTTTAAAAAAAAAGGCACTTGTAAAATAATAATTTTATAATGAGAAATCGTGCCAAATAGCGAAGTCATTTTTCGTTTTATTTGACCTATGCAGTGGAACTAGCTTTTCATCATTTTCTCAAACTTTTCACATAAGAATTTCTACATCAATTAAAGTATAAACATTATTTCATGTTTGGACGAGATTCTTAAAATAAAAAATAATAATAATAACTAAATAAATCTTTATTTTTAATTATATATTCTCTTAATAAAATAACTTTGCATGCTCATTCATAACTCTTTCCTGCTTTTAACCACGATATGAAAAAATCACTTTTCTCAAAAAATCTAAATCAAACAGGATATATATACGTTACATTATACATGACTTCTCTAATAAAGAAATCTTGCGTGGGGTGGGGGTCGGGGGGGTTCGCATGTGTATACTGCTGCATAAAATATGAAAAAAATTCTTCTTCCTTTTTTTTTTTTTTTTTTTTTTCCTATGATTTTTTGGTTTCGTCCCCACTAAATTTTCATCCTGGGTTCGCCCCTACATATTTATATATCTTGTAATGCAGCCATGTTAGAAACTGTGGTAAAATCTTAGCTAATATTCAGAAAAATTAGAGGTGCCATTGTCAACAACAGAAAAATATACAGGATTAATAAGAAGAAAAGTTGGACCTGGTGAAGTCACATGTTTCCCTTACCTGGTCATATATTGTCCGAAGTCAATAAATGGAAATTTGCGGTCAAATTATGGTGGGAAGACGTTATGGCGTTCTAGAATACTAGACTAGAAAAAAATAATAAAAATTACGAAGATGACCAACTCACATTTATATTAGGGTTGTGTATAAACTAGGAAGGGGAGTTTCCCGGACAAAATGCGAGAGAGAGAGAGAGAGAGGAGAGAGAGAGAAGGTGGCAGAGATGACAGCGAACGGTGAGGCCAAATGGGAGGAAAAGAGCGGTGGGTATGATGAGGAAAGGCGGAGACAGGGTGGAAGTGACGGTGGTGAGTCACATGGCACGGTTGTGGAGGCACATAAATAATCTATTAATTATATAGAATAATATGTTTGACAACCATATATACATATTGATTTTGAGTTGGTGAAGCGTCAATTTCTATCTTCTACTTGATGTTGGTATGCAATATCTGCTTCAATCTTATCCCACTACATCTCTTACATTTTTTTTAATTTTATTTATTTATTTATTTATTTTGGTCTTAATCGTCCATATAAAAAATGCTTCCATACATCTCCTAAAACACGAGTTTTTGAGCAAAACTCATGGCTAAGTCTTACTTTTTTTATTTGGATGATTTTTCTCACAAGGGATCAAAAACAATTGCTTTTTGTTTTACTGAATATTCAGGGTTTATATTAATTTATTTTTATGTAAATTTGGGGTTTAGTTGTGATTCTTGTAATTACTGCGCTAGGTTTTCTAATTGGTATCATAAATGATTAATATTCCAAATTCTAAATATTGGTTATTAATTGATAGGGAAAATTGCAACAGCAGTCCCAAACCTTTAAATTTTTTTAGATTTTATTCTAACATTCATTTTGTGCCATCCACAATCACAAATCTTTCATAAATTTGTAGCAAAGGTCCAAATGGACGGAAATAATCCAATTTGACCGTTAGTTGACAAATAAAATTGAATTTTGACCAATTTTGAATATTTTAAAAGGGTAAAATGGTAATTTTCTATTTAACCATATAAAACAATTAAAATAATTTAACTAAAACAAAATAAAAAGGAAAGGAAAAAACCAGCCACCATCGACCCACCATCAAACCAACAGCTCCTCAACCACCCACCACAATCGACCTTCAGCCCCTCAGCCACCAACCACGATTGACCCACACTGTCGAAGAATAGCCATTGCAATAGTGGACACCACTGTCCAAGAGTAGCCATAGCAAAACGATAATAATTTTGAGCAAAATGGAAGCCAAAATTTTGAGTAAAATGATAGTAACTTTGGCTAGATTTGGTCAAAAGTTAGACCATTTCTATGTGTGGGTGTATATGTGTGTGAATTAGAGCCAGAGATACCCAATCGATGGTTCCAGCGGTGGCTTGAGAGGAATAGACCCTCAAATATATCTTCCAATTATTAGGCAAATCTATCGTCCAACTATTAGGCAACTAGCTCGGCCTTTTTGCCATCTCCTCTTGGTTTCTCTTTATGGGTGGCCTAATTGTCCCATTCGAGCCATCAGCAGAGGGAGCCACCGAAATTAGCTCCATTGCAGTGTCAAAGCTCGAACCTTGCTCCTCCTAAAAAATTGGTTGATGCTGCTGGTTTGGTGGTGTGAATCGATGGTTGCTAAGAGGAGTTGTGGTGGTGGGTGGAGGCAATGTGGTTTTCTGGTTTTGATTGGGGATGGTGTGGGGAAGATGGTGAGTGTATGTGTTTTCAATTTTTTGATTTTTTGATTGAATTTTTTAACTTATTTTAAGTATAAAATGGAAAGTTACCATTTTATCTTTTTAAATTGGTCAAAATTGGTTAGAGTTCAATTTTATTGATCAACTAATGACAAAACATTTGAACCTCTGCTGCGAATTTATGAAAGGTTTGGGAT